GGTCCGTCTCCTGCTGCCGTTGACTTCGGGTACGGACACCCTCCGTTTCCTCCTTAGGTAAAATCGGCATTATTTTATCCCACTTCTGACACCAATTGTTACGAGCTTGAGGTTCGTGACAATAAAAATTGCCGATAAAATTACCTAAATTAACACTTTAATTTACTTTACACAAATTAAAACTAAAAACACTAATAATTAAACACACTAATTCACTTAATTCCGCTCCGAAGCTTCGCTTGTGTCGCCGAGTTCAACTCTGTCCCGATCGCATCTTGCAGCGCCTATATATTTAAATTAGCAAAGAAATATCCAGAATGTTCAAGTAAACACGCGCAAGGTACCGAGCGTTCGAGTTTTGACTAGGCGCTGTCGGTTGAGTGATTTGTGATGTCATTTGCTCCCCTCGCTCTCGTTCCTGACACTAGATGGCGCTAGTTGACTTATTCATGCAACAAATATATATATATATATATATATATATATATATATATATATATATATATATATATATATATATATATATATATATATATATATATGTATGCACATATATATACATAAATATAAACAAGCACACATTCACATATACACGCTCATACATTATTTATAAAATTACATACTATCAAAATATCTGCACTACTTAACTTTGAGATTGCTGATCTAAGAGGAACAATTTAAATTTTTGACGGAAGCTATGTATCGATTGCATATTACGGAACGGCGGCGGCAAGTTATTCCAACACTTGGTTGCTGCATATCGAAAACTGACTCGAAACGCAGCGGTGCGGTGTTGAGGCAGTAGCAACCCGTACGCCGAAGCTCTTTTCACTACATTTGTTAAGACGTTGTCTCGAGCCCAGCGCAATTTTTCATAGAGATAAGACGGCGTCCTGTATTTATACAACCAAACAACAGCGTAGCCAAATGCAACTGCCAGCGGTAATCCATTTTGAGCATTTTCGCATTATTAATGTAAGGTTTAACATGTGCACGGGGGAGGTATTTTAAAACAGAAGCGGGCACAGGCATTTTGTACGCGCTGTATAAGTTTCTTTGAACGGTTGAGAAGTCTAGGACCTATTACTGCATCTGCATAATTGAATTTGGACAGTATCAAGGACTCACATAATCTGATACGGACTTCCGTCTTTAATACATCCCTTATCTGGTATAGTACTTTTAATCTGTAAAAACAATTTTTAACGTTATTTATTATATGTTTTCGAAGTGTAGTGCCTCATCCATCAATATTCCTAAATTTCTAATCTCAGTAACGCGATCAATATTTACATTTTTAATTGAAATTAAAGGACGATTTGCCAAAACTTTATTTATTTGTTTTTTGGTACCAAGTAGCATATATTTCGTTTTATTAGGATTAAGTACTAATGTGTTTGCTTCAGACCAGTCGACTATACGATTTAGGTCTTCATGTAATTTTTGTATGGCTACAGTTCTCTCATTTGGCTTGAAATAAATATACACTTGTATATCATCAGCATATTATGATAGTTACAGTTTAATATATGTTTTACGATATCAGCACTATACAGCGAAAAAATCAAGGGACCAAGTATTGAACCCTGCGGAACACCTCTTGTAACAGCACAGCAATCAGATGCTATTTTATTGCCGTTTTCATCTTATACTTCGACAATTTGCCTACGGTCATTAAAACAGCTAAGAAACCTATCTATAGTTTCCGAGCTTAATCCATAGTAGTTTAATTTAGAGAATAACAACTGCCTATTTAACGTGTCAAATGCACGGGAATAGTCTAGAAGAACTAGAATTGTAACCATACCGGAATCCCGAGCACTTAAAACATTATCCACTACATCGGCCAAAGCTGTATTCCCATACAAAAAAAAATCATGCCATGCCGACGCTCTGTTGCGACGTGAAAGAAGGACAAACTTGTGCAACATATTCGATTTTCTCGATTCAATGAGATGTTTTTCCGCGGAAAAAAGTAGCCTATGTCACTCTACAGCCACCGAACTAATTCGTAGTACTTATATTTTATAAAGTTGTAAATATTTTGTTATTTTCTACAAGATGATTTTTTTTGCAAATTATTGCATGTAAAATATCGTTATAATTGAAGGCTGTCGTATAGTATAGTTTAAACAGCAATTACAAATACAAAATATTTTATTTCTTTAACTAAGTGCAGCAGTAAAAGCCTAACGATGATATATAAATATATCGTCCGGTTTTCGTGGAGGCTTTGATGTTGGTGATGATGTTATACTGTTGACCTTTGACATTTTACATATTAAAATGCCATAAGAAAATTTTAATTTCTCTGCTTAATTGTACATGCGCAGTGGACTCTATTTAATTTCATCTTTCGTGGCGCGACCTATACCATCTGGCTGACCATAGACTTAGGAGATTATTAGACGAACATAGTATGTAAGTGAGAAGAAAATTCCTTATGGCAATATAGCAAAATAGAAAAGGATAGCAAATCTCATGACTTTGTAACCGATTTTGAATGACGGTACAAATTGGCACGCAAAAATGAGCTACTAGAAATTTTGTTATTTTTTAGAGTATAATAGCTACTATTATCAGTAATTAATTGCTTTCCAAAATGGTTACTTGTTCTGTGTGTGACTGTGGTGTAAATAATGGAAATAATCCTGATAGTTGCACATTTCTCAGATAAATTCTTAAGACGTCGTCGATAATAAGACACGTCAATTTATGGTTAAAATTTATTCATAATTCATAATTCTTTATTGCATGTCACAAAGTATACAGTTGGAACAATATATTTAGAGAACATGTGACATGATTTCTATTTCAGTCAACTGAACGTCAATAACGGTTTTACGCGTTTTTGGTGTCATTTTAATTATTTTAAGTTTACTTGTAATATTCTGATTACATTCCTTATATATTTTAGTATATATTAATAATATTTATCTGCATTTTCATATTGTATCTCATTTAGCAACAATTTCATACTATCAAAAAACAGTTTAACGTAGCTTTAGTCTCTCGGTCGCCATGTCTAATCCAATTCCGCCTAAGCCACCGGATCCGAATTATTCTGACATTAACATTATTTCCTCACCCGCTGCTTATGTTGAAATTGAAAATAATTTAGAAGGTTCATTTTAAAAACCACGGCAGTCATTATCGCAAGAAATTTTTGATGACAACTTCAAAATTATTTCAAACAAAAAAGAAAAGAAAACATAAAACGAAGGAAAGGAAGAAAGAAGAGCATGCTAATCGGGTTGACATAAATAGAAGAATTTCATCTTTTTCCACCAATTCCTCATTCTCAGAATCGGACTGCGATACTGGTAATACTTCATCATCTAAAATTAAAATTGTAGACTCTAACTCTATCAAAAGCAATATGTCAGGACAACATGCTTATGAATCTCCCATGTCTTTATCATCCAATATTGCTTGTACATAATCATCTGAAATCCCTCTTTCACAATCATCGGGCATTCCTCTATCACAAACATTAAATTCTGCCAATAGTTATATCTCCTCTAACACACATAACGCTCTTAACACGCATATTGATAGCGATAATAAAAAAAATAGAGTCACAAAGATTTCAATCTCTTCATTCTTATAATTCTACAGATTCAGGTCCTTTTATCGTTCATGTTCAAGTAAAAGAAGATTCTCCTAATTCTGGTAAAACTTCAAATGCCATTTCATTTGGTCACTTTTTGAAAAAAAATTAAATGTACAAAATATAGTTAATGGAGGCCTAAAACGTATCGGGAGAAATAGAATAACGGTTGAATTCTCTAAATTTATTGATGCAAATCTATTTTTAGAAAATCCATCCGTAAATGATAAATATAAAACCTTTATTCCATCCTTTCACGTATCTCGTATGGTAGTTATAAAAGGTGTACCAAAAGATTGGACACCAGAAGAGATTATTTCCGAATTATCTACTTATCCAAACACCATTCCTGTATTAAAAGTAAGAAGATTAAATTACCGAGTTCGCAACGAGGACAAAGTCAGATATGAAAGCTCTGAAAGTGTCATAATCACATTTGACGGTCAAATTCTTCCCTCGAGGGTTTATTTATGCTATTCTTCCATTCCTGTTGAAATTTATAAGCTTCCAACGATCCAATGCTTTCAGTGCTGCAGATTGGACATACTAAAGATTTATGTCGTTCCAAGCCAAGATGCTCAAAATGTGGAGGTGATTCCTCCTCTTCTTCTTGCGACAAAGATAATGGATCTTTTCGTTGCTTATTTTGCTCAGGTAACCACAAAGCCACAGATTCGAGATGTCCTGAACACACAAGACAAAATAATATTAAAATTGAAATGGCACAAAATTCTATCTCATACCTAGAAGTAGGGATGGGCAGGTGAAAAAAAAAATGTCGATATATATCGTATCGGCATTTGAAAATAGTATCGATATATATCGACAGAAAAATATCGATATATCGATATATCGACATGTTTTGCATGATCATTCATACATAATATGTATTCCCAAAACATTCAATATACGGAAAAAAAATACACACATGAAGAAAATAGTATATTTTTATTAGAAAGTAATCTAATCAAACCAATATTCATCCGAAATTGACATTAGTAGCACTCTCTGTTTGACGTGCTCTCCTGTCAAGCGGTTTCTGTTGTCGGGTACAGTTATATTCACAGCTGATGCAACTCTTTCAGAAGAGACCGAAGAAGCCTGGCAAATTAAATATTTAAGGGCGACTTCTGAAAGAACTGGCGTAAAATGTTGGCAATTTGTCCAAAATTTTATTGGATCAGCCTTTCTCTCAAGGAGAGGTTGATCAAGGTATTGCTTGAGTTCATTGGGCATGTTAATACAAAATAGTTAATTCGACTCAGTCTATTATTATTAGAGAGAGACAACTTGTTTAGTTTATTTTAGTCTTTGATTTATTATTGCTGTTATATTAAATACTCAAAGATTTTAGGTTATATACTTTAGGATATATTAATATTTGATAATCTTACATTAACAGTAGATACATTACATTGGAGTTATTCAAGTCTACTGCCGCAGCGTCTTCAGTTTCTTCACTAGATTTAGTTGTTTTCAATGAACTAGGCATTTTCATCATTTGCAAATAAGCAAAATGATGCCTATTTTTTAAATGAGTGGCCAAATTGGTTGTATTACCGCACGTTTTATACGACTTGCCGCACAAATTGCAAGAAGCTGAATCATTGTTGTTGTCTTCTTTTTTGAAGAACTTCCACACAGAAGACATGATTGATAAGATTCGAAGTTCGAAGCTTCGAATTCGAAGTATTTTTAGTTTTAGCTTTATTTTTAACTTTAAACTTTTAAGTTTTCCGTAGAAAAATACCGTTACTGTCTTGCTGTGTACATCATAAACACAAAACACAAATTTGAATTCGTAACAGTGAGACCATAAACAAAACTAAAAGCAAAAGACAAAAGAATGCTTCTGTTTGGTCTATGGTCTTACTGCAATATTCGATTTGATGAAGATTGTAACGAGATTTTTTTTTAAATAAACAAAACAAGAATTTCGTAAAAATATATCGAAATTGATACGAATTCGATACTCTAAAATAAATATCGGAATGACGATATATCGCGATTAAAAATATCGACGATATATATCGATTATTTTATGAAAAAATATCGATATTTCGATATATCGATATTTTTTACCCAAGCCTACCTAGAAGCATCTCAAAAATATCCTCAAGTTTCTTCAAAATCATATGCTGATGTTTTGATTTCTAAAATCCCTGAAAATTCTTCGCTTTCTACTAATCCTACAATGGATAATTTTCCTTCCAACCCCGCTACATCTAATAAAATTTCTTATAAGAAATCATTATATATTCCTAAACCATTACGTCACCATTCACAAACAGGATACGACAAAAAAAGCCATCAAAAAATTATTGAAGATTTTTCAATTCCGCAATCTGAGGATGGTTGTGCTCTTCGGGTTTCACCAGTTACTTCACAGGGTAATTTTGATTCTGTAGAAAGCATTATAAGTTTCCTTATTAACATAATCATATCTTCGTATTCGTCGAAGCTAACGTCCCACGTTGCACGCTTACTAAATTCTATACCTAAAATTCTCCAAGACATTCACTCTCACAAAGATCCTTCAATGGAATTGTAAAATCATTTTAGATAAACGTACTGAAATAATCTATTTATTTAAAAAAAAATACAATGTGTGTATCGCTGCTATTTCAGAGACATGGCTAAAACCAGATTCGAACATCAGAGTACCTGGTTTTTGTCTTGTTCGAAGTGACAGATCTGATGGTTATGCCGGATGTGCTTTGCTTATAAAAAATAATATAACTTATTCCATTATAGATGTTTATGATGAAATATTTGACTTTAATATTGTAGCAGTAAGAATTCAAAATATTACTTTCGTTTCTATTTATGTTCCTCCCCTTCTGTCTATACGTTTCGCAGAATAAAATCTTTAATAGCCTCCCTACCCAAACCATTTATAATTCTTGGTCACTTTAATTGTCATCATTATTTATGGGGTGATAATACTGATAAATATGGTAGTTTATTAGTTGAAATAATTGACGAACTTAACATTGGTGTCCTTAATACTGGTAAAATTACCAAACGCTCTCGTCCTAATGAGTCTAGAAGTGCTGTAGATTTATCAATTTGTACTCCTGATTTAACCACTCTTCTAAATTGGTCAGTTCTAGATAGCTCTCACGGCAGTGACCATTTTCCCATTCTGATTTCCTTTCCGAATAAAGAATTGGCAGAAATTAACAAAAAATCATGTATTAAATACAAATTAGACAGAGCAGACTGGAACCTGTACAATATTTTTCTTTACAATGAAATTCTAAAAATCGCTCCTATTTCTGAAAATAATATAACTTCTGTTGTTGAAGCATTTACAAACGGAGTTATAAATGCAGCAGATCAAACAATTCCTGTTAAAACTCTAAATAATAAATGTAGGCCCTCCCCTCCATGGTGGGATTCTGAATGTACTGAGGCCATTTGTAATAGGAAAAAGGCCGAAAAACAATATAAATTAGATATGAGTTCGGAAAACTATTCATACCTTCAACGTGTACAAGAAGTGACTAAAAATACTCTTTGCACAAAAAAAACAAACACGTTGGCATGCCTTTTGTTCCTCAATTTCTCCTTCAATACCTTCATCAGTTGTTTGGCGTAATATTAAAAAATTTCGCTGTTGTTTTTCATCTTGTTCTTACAGTGGTGCCATTCCCTCTCAATCTATAAACACTTTTCTGGATAAACTTGCCCCCTCTTCTGCTCCTTTGAGAGAGGAGCTACCTCAAAGTATTCCATGTGATTCTTTTTTGATCCCTTAGAACGTCCATTTTCTTTATATGAATTAAAGCTTGTCCTTTTTCACGTTCAAGATTCAGCTCCTGGTTTAGACGGTATTCCATATTCACTACTTGCGAAATGTAATGATCAAATTTTATCCTACTATTTAAATATCATTAACGTTTTATTTGACATAGGCTTTGTTCCTGACTGTTGGCGGACTCAAGTAATTATTCCTATCTTGAAACCTGACAAAAATCCTAACGACGGCTCTTCTTATAGACCGATCGCTCTATCCCCAACTCTAATTAAAACCTTTGAACATATGATCAAGAACCGTCTTGAATGGTATGTAGAAAGTCATGGATTGTTATCAAATACCCAATATGGATTCAGAAAAGGTAAAAGCACATATGACAGTCTTTCTATCTTCACCACAGATATTAGACTAGCATTTTCGAGAAATGAATCGGTCCTTGCTGCTTTCCTTGACATTTCTTCTGCTTACGATAATGTCAACATCCTTAGAGAAAAGATATTTAAGCTTAATATATCCAAAAAACTTACAAATTTCATTATCAATTTATTTCTAGATCGATATATACATATTAAAATTGATGATGATCTAAAATATACTCGAAAGGTTTTCAAAGGCCTTCCACAAGGCTCCGTTTTAAGTCCTTTATTATACAATATTTATACGTCAGATTTGGACCAGTCTATTTTAAAGTGTAGAATTTGGCAATATGCTGTTGATATCTTAGTTTATGTTAATGATAAATGTATAGAATCTTGTGCTAATGCGATAGAACAAGATCTCCTCTCTATGGCCTCTTGGTTAGATGATCATGGACTAGAACTTTCCCCAAATAAAAGTAATACAGTAATTTTTTCGCGCAAAAAGAGTTTTACCTGAAATCCAAGTTCGCCTTTTTGATTATCCGCTCGTAAATATTCAACAAGTTAAATTCCTTGGTGTAATTTTTGATAATAAATTATCCGGCATGCCTCATATCATTTATACCCAAAAAAAATGCGAAAAAAAATATAAACATTCTTAGAGCTTTGTGCGGGGTATGGTGGGGCGCTCATTCATATTATTTAAAATTAATTTATAATGCAATTATAAGAAGCCGATTAGATTATGCCTCATTTCTTCTTGAACCAGCTAGTAAAAAAGGATTAAAAATATTAGATATCATTCAACACAAGTCTTTAAAATTAATTATAGGCGCTATGAATTCGTCGCCTATAAATGCCTTGCAGATTGCGTGCGGTGATCCTCCACTTTTTATTAGACGACAATATTTATCGGATTCCTTTTTTTATTGGGTTCTTCAATTTTCAAACCATCCATTACTCCTTAAAATTCGTTTGCTTTCTCAGTACATTTCAATTAATTCAGGAAAATACTGGCGTAATAAAGAAACTCCTAACCTAGTTAAAAGCTATGAACATTATAATTCCTTACTAGATCCTATTTATAGGTCGGCGACTCTGCCTCTTTTCTCCAATTCGTTTGAAGTTGCACTTTTCAAACCCAATGTTATATTAGATATAGGATTAAATAAATTTTCTATTGAATCAAATAAAAAATTTGTATTTACGTTGGACAAGAATTTCCCAGATTGTCATTATATTTTTACAGATGCTTCTAAGATTAACTCAAAAAGTTGTACTGGGTATGCAATATACCATCAAAATTGGAGAATAGTTCAAAAAATGAAAAGTCCTCCTGAATCTTCAGTTTTTACTGGAGAAATGTTAGCCATTTTACAATCAATAAAATATTGCTATCTTTTTAAATTAAAATCAAGCGTGATATTTTCAGATTCTCTTAGTTCTTTACAAGCATTGTTATGTAATCCTTTCTATGACATTTCCCGCAATCCTTTGATATTTGAAATTAAGAAACTTCTATTCTTATACCAATTCCAAAACATCAACATTTCTCTCGTTTGGATTCCGAGTCATATTGGTATATCTGGTAATGAATATGCTGACAAACTTGCTAAACAAGCTATAGTCTGTGGGGATACTTTCCTATTTAAAAATTATTGCTATGACCTTATAAGAACTACGAAATTAGTATATAGAGATAGATGGTCAAAACATTGGAACAAAACCAAAACGACAAAAGGCTGTCACTATTCCAAAATTCAACCCATCATTCCTTCTAAGCCTTGGTTTTATAAATTATCCTTAAATAAGAAACATACATCAATGTTATGTAGAATGCGCTTGGGTCACTGCTGTAATTCGGTTCACCTTGCTTGGCTTCATATTAAAAATTCTTCAATATGTGAATGTGGTTTGGATATTGGTGACCTCAACCATATTTTCTTCTCGTGTTCTTTATATGATCATACTTCATTATTTAACACTTTGGTAAATCTTAAAATTCCTCTTCCTACAGAAATTTGTTCTCTTTTAATTTTTTCTAAAAAAAAGTAAAAATGTTTTCAATTGTCTTATGGAATTTTTAGATTTAAATAATATTAGTTTATAAAATTTTATTCATTATTTAGCAATCAACCGTCTTTATTTAGTAATACTTATTATTTTAAATGTGGCATTGAGTTTAGTATTATTTTAATTCAACCTAACATCCATCATTTATTTAATATAGGTACTTCAGTACAAGTCTTTTCATGATTCATTATTATAGTATTCTCTTTAGATTGTCCATCGTTTCATTTCAAGTTACAAGTATTTTTATTGACTGGAGGTTGGCAGTAATTGTTAGGTTGCCATATTTAAAAAAAAAACATGTGACATCCTGTACGGGCGTAGCATATTAAAACAGAGTTTAAATTTTAATTAATATGGAATTCATTTTCATTTCATTCATATTACAGTATTTATGGTACACAATATATAAATTATATTATAAAATGTCGGACTAAATAATACTCACACATTTATTTTAAAAATTAAATTTCAATAAATATTATATTATGTCAACTGATCATTCGTCATTTATATTAATTATGTAAATAAAGTTTAAACATTTCGGTGAAAAATACTAACAATGTCAAATATATAAATAGAAATAAAGAAAATTGTCAAATAATTAAAATCGATTTATAATTTATCATTAAAATATTCATTCATACTGTAATATGTTTTTACAATAAGCATTTTCTTGAGTACTAAGTATTTCAAATTTACCACACTGGAGGACTTTTATTGTATTAGGTAAATTGTTGTAATAGCCCTTATAGCCATGTAGTAGGGACCATTTTTATATAACGTGAGATGTGTGGCAGGAGCAACCAGATTACAACCTCGGCGTGTGCCGTATCGACTGAGTCTATCTTCAAATCGCTGGAAATAATGAGGGTTTTTCCTAACAAATCGGCATAATTCAAAAATGTACATGCACGTTACAGTTAGTAAGTTATATCTGGGGAACAACCTTCGACATGAATCTCTTGCAGCTACGAATGTGATGATTCTAACGTTGGTAACGTTTTTGGAGCATGGATACCGCGTGTACCTCGGTAGAGTTTCCCCGGAATATGATGCCGTATCTTATCCAGGCAGTTGCGTGGCTGTGGTACGCAGTAAGTGCGCACTGCTCATTAGTATCCTTACGTAGCTCACGCAGGGCATAGCAAAAACTGCTCAACTTACAACTCTTTCTACATGACTTTTCCATGAAAAAGTTGAGTCTACTGTTATCCCGAGGAGTGAAAATATGCCAACTTCCTCAATATTTATACTTTGGTAAGATATAGTGAGTGGGACTTCTGATCTCTGATATGGACGAAACTGCATTATTTCGGTCTTTTCAAAATTTAGTAATAAGCCTTAAACCTCTAATTCATTCACAGTTTTGCTAATGCATTGTGTTATTTTTTCCTGCAAAATACTTAGATTTTTTTGTTCACAAGTAATTGTAACTGTCGCATCATCTGTAAACAAAACGACACTATGTAGTGCTACTGAAGGAAGTTCGTTGATATATATAGAAAACAACAAGCATTCTAGGACACTACCCTGCGGTATAGAACCCTGTTACTGTTGCGGTGGACGAATTTATGTCATTAATCAGTTTTCGATATTCATTTAAATGTGATACCTGCACGTACACGAGCCATTCGTGCAGTTTCCCTCGTATACCTAGCGAATATAGCTTTTCTAGCAAGGGTCCATGCAAAACGCGATCGTATGCTTCGGATATGTCCATAAATATAGCTATAGTACATCTTCCTTCAATTAGAGTATTCTGAATTTCTAACATGCAGTCAAATACAGCGGACCTAGTAGAATGATCTTTTCGAAAACCATGCTGATATTTATTAAAAATGCTGTATTTTTCAATAAAAAAAAATATTTTTTACTACAAATTATTTTCTCAAAAATTTTTGAAATTACAGACAGTAATGCAATGGGGCGATAATTAGGTACAGCAATTTTATCGCCTTTTTTAAAAACAGGTTTTATCACGGCTAGTTTTATATTTTCTGGAAAAATGCCATCCTTATACGATTGATTTATAAGAATAGTTAAGGATTTCACAAACTCATCTACGCAATATATCAGCAGGGTAGCTGGGATTTCATCATATCCGCAAGAATTGTTTCTTTTTAGTCCTATTATCGCTTTTTTTAGATCAGCTTCAGTAACACTACTAAGATATAGTGAATTTGGCAAGGATACTCGAGATGGCCGCTTATTTAGAGAAAAGCAGTTGTTTGAACTTATTGTTATATAATAATTATTGAATAAGTTTGCAACTTTACTTGGAGATGTTACATTTAAAACCAAGAACCAGCAAAAAACCCAGCGGGACTTTTTCTTATAAGTAGGTATATCAAACAATAAAAACACGGGTTGACAAACTGCTTACAAAACTTATTTAAGAAACAGTTTGGAGGCGACCACCTTATTTCCAGGAATTATTATCATGCATATATTTATTTACATTACAATAATCCTTTTTTTACAGTTCAGCCTACTAATGTAGCAGTGTGGCTCTACCGAGTATAATTTTGGTTTTACCGCCATCTATGGAAGTTTTACAAGTTTAGTTTTAATACTATGGTATATTTTTAATTTTCATTCAAAATAAATTAAATATTAGTTATTATCATAATCGTAGTTCAAAAGACTCTCGGGTTTCTTCTCACAGACAAACGGTGCAGTGCGATGACACCAAATATCATCAAATAACGCATCCCTGAATATAGCTCCACAATATTGTCCAGTCGCATTATCTGGCTGCCCTTTACCCCACATTTCATATCCCGCTTCTCTGAGAGTTTGGCCTGAAATGTAACAATAAAAAGCAGAATTAGCCAAAGTTAAAGGAATTTAAAAGCCTCCTACTGCAGTAAGTTGCTGCTAGATTTTTTAGTCTCTGTTCCTTTTTAGTCTTTATTTTCTAATACAAAATACAATGGGCCGACTAATTTGCCTTTACACATTCTCTACTAGTTAACCCAAAGAGTGAACAATTTCTAACGTAAGAGTAGCAGTATAGATAAAAATGCATGTATAAACTTTCTATTTGAAAACGTATAAGAAGTCACTATCCCATATCGTCCCGCGGGAGCCGTAAGAGGCGACAGTAGCATCTTCCTGATAGCAACTCATAATTATAAAAATCAGCATTTTTCAACTCACCTGCCATGCGTAGCAAATATGGCAAAATCCCTCCTATTAGGTCATCCATGGGGGAGGCCTATGTTTAGTTGGTGACATTTATAGAATGGATGCAATGGAAAATAATTCTTAAACTGATGTTTAAAGCAAAAAACTGATATGTGAAATCGACTCATACTCTGACATGATAAGGAGCTGATTCTGTTTTAAGTGAGTGCCCCGATATTTGAGAGTACAAACTGCAAACTTAATGTAAAGTTAGAAATTCTACTGCCAACAACCACTCCTAATGCGAATACAAACATTTTAAGCTAACATGGATTAGTTTACGAGATTATTCCAAATGTTAATTTTATTGCGCGATTTCTTATTTAGGTGAATAATTAAAATAGTAAAATTTACGTGGGAGAACCATGGTTCAGATGTTTTATACCTGCGGTATGGTGGGCTTGACCTAGAGTGATTTGAGCTTGCAGTAACTAGCGTAAAATTGCAGCGTAATGCTGCTGTTTTTCGTTTATTGAGTATAGTGGATAGGAAACTCGTTTTTTTAGGTATTTAGGTATTTCGTCTTCGTCTTCAGGGAAGACCGCATCTACTTTTTGGTTCTTAATGGAGGATACATGTAGATGTTTATGGGCCACAACATTCACTAACCATCGGGTAGCCTGTGAGTTCGTTTGTCGTATACAATAAATATGAATTTAGTATATAAGCGTAGCAAAGTAAAAAGTAAAGTTACTGGTGGTAGAACTACTTTCCTGCCTGTGAGTCCGTCTGGGCCAATACCAACGTCTTACTTATACTGTGAGGCAATAGCGTAATCTCTAGATTTTGTTTGTTAATCGAGGAAGAATGTAGTTTTCTATGGGACGCAGCATCCACTTACCATCAGAATGACTGAAGTTTTGTTTATTATTGGACGAACGTCTTTAAAATAGTCAAAACTTTTAAAATTCTTTCCATATAATTTTTGGTGTGCTAGTGGGGTCTTTTTTCCTATTAGAATCTCATTCTTATTCATTAAAAAGACGTTACCTCAACACTTAAATTTTCTCCTCTATCGTAGGGGCATTTTACTACATACATAAATTTCACAAGAACCTATATCGAGATCCGGGACACATTAGCCACGGCGCCACGGAGCCGTTAGGTATCAGAAGCGAAAGTCTCCAAAAAGCGATCGGTCGGACAAAAAAATTTTGTATTGTGCATCCAAATAATAAACTGGAATCGATCATATCGTATAAGCATGACATCTCAAAGGTATTTTGTTGCACTAGATATGTTTATATTGAATATAGTATAATTTATATCCAATTTATAATTGATTGTCTTCGGATCAACCATTCTGGCGGGGCAATTGCATATTTTCGAATGGCAACTTGGATTGCCAGGTATTGAAAACATAAATCCAACTTATCAATTTACTAATTATTTTGTGTATTAGTGTTAAAATAATAAACGTGTCTGCAAGTAAATCTAGGCTTTTTTGAACCTTATTCATCAAGTCGTTTGAACTTCTAATGACAAAACGTAGTTAATCATTCATTTCATTTGTACACGTGGTAGAGCCCCGCTGCAGCTAAATTATGGTTGTAGCACGAATAGGTCGGTTCGACTGCGCTCTCACAAAATACCAGCGCAAAATAGCAGGTTTATGGTGCTGTATTTCGTATGGTGAATGTACAGAACCGGAAACCCGTTTAACTAGAAACGAGGCATTCCATCTTCGTCCTCAGGGTGGCAACGCATTCGCATTTTGATTTTTAATTTGGGAGAAATGTTGGTGTCTATAGGCCACAGCATACACTTTCGATGAGGTGGACTGTGTGCTCGTTTGTCACCCTTATACTATAAAAAATCATCTTCTATTTGCGAGACTTAAAGAAATTCCTGTGGTATTAGACCATATTCAAAACTATAAGTAAGCTGATTCACTCACTGGTGTTGCTCCCGTAACCTGTTTTAAAGATTTGAGTTTTTTCTTTTTAATAAGTCCGTAACAAAAGATGAATACACGTAGGATGCCTTTAATCGTTACGCTTGATAAGTGTGTTGACGATCGTTGTGTCCATACCTGTCCAGTCTTTAACGCTGCTATCCATCGCTGATGTTGGTATTTTACGTCTGATGTAAACTAGATGATTTACCGTTATATATCGGAAGCCATAAGATATTAATGGCATTTCCCTTAAGGCACCCACGGGACGAAATTTAGTGATGGATTCTCTCACACCGCCACCATACAGTCATTTTTGAGTTTAGTTTGTTATAATTTACTGTTAATATTTATCGAATATTCAATTCTTACCGTGAATTGTACTCCACACCCCACGTTCACCCCAGTCATAGAATCCAACATGAGCAACGTTCTTCTCTCCACTTATTTGATGACTAAGATACTTAGCAAACAACTCGCTTAGAATTTGAGCTTCGACGTGACTATTTATGATAGCCAAATGACCGCCCTCCGATGCACAGGCCATAAAAGCATGAGACCAAGATCGGCCGACGTAGTGGAATTTATAGCAGCTACCGGTTCTAGAATCATGGGTGTACTCTGTGGAAATTATGGTGTATAGGATAATTTGATTCATTTTAACATGTTTGTTGACAGTTTCAACTTATTTATATTAAAAAAGAATTAAAGATAATAGCATAACCACAACAAAATCGTATCCAGTTAAAGATGGAAGCCTGTGTAGAAAATAATTTCAGTTTTATAGTTGGTAAGCCAACTTTTTAAACTATTATAAGCCATTTCTTGACCACCATCAAACTTGATGATAAGTGTTAAAGCACCTGAAGATGATAAAGCGCATTGATAAAAGCCGGTACACTTTTGACTTAAAGAAATACACATTGAAATCCAATGGAAATGCAAACTCTGGCAACCATTAAACAATTTTTAAGACAAAATTAATATTTACATGTAGATAAATTATAAATGTACCGTTATTGAAAAGCTACTATAAAAGAGCTGGATAGCGCTGGAGCTAAGCAATCACTGTATAAATACCACGCGAGCAACCTAGGTTCAATTATCGCTAACACCAGTTATCATAATCATTACAATCCTCCACAATTCCACTACTAAACAAAATGCTCAACTCATCATCTACATCATTTCTCTTTAGGGGCCTTACCGTTGTCAAGATGCTGGAGAGCTAATCTAATATCGCTCACATTGGCGTCCGGGATATCATCGAAATAGTATCGGATGAGACTTGCTTTTGGATAGTTACTCACACTTACGTGTGGCTATAACAATGATGTGTACAACAGTCCGAAGAACTCTCAATTTCGTTAAAAATTGCTTACCAACATCAGTAGTGCCACAACCGGATAGAATTGTCGGTTTTGTTCTTTTTTTATAGCATATAAAGGGAAAAACCTCTGAACATTTGACGTCAGCCACCGTTCCGTGAGGTTGAAGGAGCAAGCATTCCTCGCTGTTTTCGCAATTGTCTGGTTCCCCTGGTGACCATCTAATTGGCATTCTAGCCACCGGTACTCCTAAAATAAGAAATTGTATTATCGTTTAAATAAATAAATTCCATAAAAATGTCTTAACTTTTGATTTAAAATAATTTTTTACTCAACATTTAGGATTTTCTTAGACATTAACAATAGAATATCCTAAATAGACTTTGCGTTAGTGAAAATAAAAATACGATTTATATGCACATAAAACATATTGCAATTTTTCTCACCTTCGACTGAGAAGAAATCTCCCTTAGATATGGTTGAATGTACACCGGTAAAAACATCATTGGTAAGATTGTTCATAGCATTCAAAAGTTTTATATTTAAAGGTGAAGCTAACACCGCTCCTGATTGGGAAAAAGTAATATATATATATATATATATATATATATATATATATATATATATAATATAATTATATTTCTTAAGTTAACTCCTTAGCATTGACATACGATATTTTAAAGTTACTATAAATATAGATCTGACTACTGCGTCCATTGGGATCTACAATATATGCAATGTTTGCTTCTCTTAGATCCTCCTGTGGATTTATGTATAATATTTTTTATAATATTTTTTCCCTCTTCGATGTTTAGGTAGGTAATTCAAAGTAGATTAAATTGATGAAAACTTTATTGATTATTAAGTATCACTCGAGATAACTGGCAGCAAATTAATTGCATGTTAATAGTTTTATATAAAGTACCAGTAGTAGCGGTATAAGAATATCTACTACCCCATATCATCCCGTGGGTATCCTAAAAAGCTACAGAGAGAAACTTTAACGATAACGGTATAATAAAATTATATTTATGCTGTTAAAAGGGTCTTGTCATTCACTAAATAAAGACTGCTGTGGCTGGTTTTGTTGTGGAGTTTGTAATGCCTTGCAGCACAATTTGGTTATTTTCTAATATAAATTGGAAATATTTCTGTGACAATACTGAATGGAGAACAGCGTAGTGATACAGCATTTGTGACCAGATGTGTTTAAATAATATCGTAATGATATGATATTTAGGTAGCTAACAATGAACTGGCGGAACCTTCTGGATTACCCATAACTGTTTAGTAAGAGGTTGTATAATCTAATGGTAGCTTACACTATTCTAACTCTTGGTATTGGGTTTAAAAATAATAGTTACTCTTAACAATTAAAAACATCGCTTTTAGATTCTAGTATCTTTGCACATAGTTTCATTATCACAAAATTTAGTGTTATTCTTAATTAAAAATCCCTAGCTTCGCCACCGCAAGAGGCACTCCTAAGATCGTCCGCGTGGATCGACTGTCGCGTTATTAAGGGCCGACAATGCTCGGGCTCGGGACGAGCATGTTTTAAGAGGGAGCAGTAATGCGCGCCATAATTAATGTCTGGTACTTGGCACTACGCCATCTAGTATTGAGTATCAGAACTAATCTTTCTAGAAAATTTCATGCTAGAACTTTCTACACCTAGTCGGTCGGGACTGGTATGTGCTAGAACATTCTAGATGTTTCAGTGAAAAAGGGCTATATAAGGCCGGTTTAGGCTACGACACGGGTCAGTATTGATTGGACGATTCATCAAATACTTCGAAGCGATATAACTGCGAACTTATGTGTTAAGTCCGATTAGCTATTAGTGTGTTTTAACTTGTAATTGGTGTGTTAACAATACCATTATACACTATGCAATATATAGACTAAAAGTTAAAATAATACTTTATATAAATAGTTTACCATTATTCTCGTATGGAAGTAATGGAAGCCATTTTACTTAACCTGTTGTTATATAATAACAATAATGTTCTCCATCATCCAGACTATATTTCGATCACTGCTGCCAGCCGCAACGGAGGCTGGTCATCTACGTGGAACAGGATTATAGTGTTCGAATATATTCTCTCATTCTCATCTCATCTCATCTCATCTATTCCTTCATTCTCTTAGTCCAATGACACAGTAATATGACATGAACGGAGAGAGATCAGGCGCAGGACGAACGGCTTGCGTGCATGGTGGTAAACTCTATCAATTTTCCGCCTCTGGGCTGATACTAAGAATTTCTTGCCAGTAAAACCCAATAACTGATTTTGGCCCGAACTGGGATTCGAACCCGGGACCTCATGGTCAGTAATCGCATTTACGGCTACTAGAACAATGAGGCAGTCAATGTTTTTTATAATATTGTAGTGACTAACGAGCTATCTAGACTTGAAGCAGTAGTATTTTAATGGACTGCAATAATTGTAATGATGTAGTCGAAGATGTTGTATTACTACGATGTTTTTTAATTTATATTTTCTAGTGCACAAATTTTGACAACCGACCCTTGGCGTAGAAGCCTAGAACATTGAATAATAAGCCAAACCATCAGTTCAGAAGTACTATGTGGTAAGTCACCACATAAAATTTTTAATTTTACCTTCAAGATAGCATCTAAGTCGAGCGTCGTGCCAGGTAGCAGGTATGCGGTGCAGTTTCAGCCATCCGTCTAGCTCAGGGTAAAATGTGTAGTCAAAGCGAAGGAATCGCTGATCTGAAACTAAAACGTTGTTTATTAATTGCTCTTCTTTGACAGGGTATTTCTAAATATAGTGATTAGTTGTATTTAAATATTAAAAGGAAATCTACATTTTAACAAAAAACAGTACAGGAGAGTAATTAGTAGTAATATAGATAAATAAATTAACTAGATAGAGTGACTACATGGTAATTCATGCAAAAGTTCGATTCGATGAATGCAGGTGGCTATGGAGATTGGAGATCCACCTGCGTTCATCAGTTTTTTGGTATTTCTTGTGGATGACTTATATTCACAGTGGATTTGTGAAGGGCGGTTACGATGATGATGATAAAATAAGTACATCAAAAAACTTACCACCACTTAGAACTCCAGTTAGTTGAAATAATAATAGGACCAGCCACTGTAATTAATATAAAAAATAACATTATGCATTTAAATTAGTGATGCAACGAATTTTCCTTTTACGAATACGAATATTAAACGTACTATTAGGCGAATACGAATACGAATATCTCGCCATGGTAATAAATAACTAATTCATTTGATGATATTCTATTATTCTAATGATTAGAATTTTTTTCAGTCAAATTTTTACTTGAAAAACATAAAATTTGTAGATTTTCTGGTTTTAGGCGATTTCTTTTTACAGTCTGGATGTTCTGTTTGAAAAAAGCCTTTCCGAGGCGACTGTATACGGTTTCGGTGAAAAAAATTTTGTGCGAGTTTTTTCAGAGTTTTTTCAGCCTTGGAAAATGGACATCTTCTCGCCAAAAGGCCAATGTATTAGCAATCGGCCATAAATTTGGGAGTTTTAGATAAGCATCTCGTTCTTAGTTAGCGAATCCCCTGTAAAAAATATTTTGAAAAAAAAAATTTACTTTTACTATGTAGATGCCAATGAGTACCTATATTTATCTGATATCGATATGATTTATCGAAGTGTTTCCATATGTCACCTTGATCTCGTTTACAAGAAGACATTTCAACTTCAACTTTTTTCACAAAACAATTAAATTAAACAATACTCTCTTGCTTGACCTGTGCTTTCGTTCGACTGTCAAATGAAATGAATCAATCAATCCAGGGTTCGTAGTGATAGGGAAACTCCCGGCTCCGGGAGTATCCCGCTACTACTATATCCTATACTACTATATCCGCTACGGGTAAGGGCCTATTCACACGTCGTATTTTTTACACGCCGATGACGCGACGCGCGTGTTCCAAGTCTGCCAGTAATTAGGGTTGTGCGTACAAAAATATTAGTATATAAATAAAATCCGTGATTAGTATTCGCCGAAAACGAATATTGGTATTCGTATTAGTAGTATCACTAATTTAAAACCTGCAACGTTTGTATACCACGAAAGATTAGAATACAATATTACCTTTATAAATTTTGTGCTAGAAATAATAGCAGACATTATTGCTTAATCAACACTCCAAATCAACACAAGAATTCAAAATAAATTTAAAAACGATTAGATTGTAAACAGACAGGAGCGTATAAATCTATTTCTTGTAAATACTAACGTCACAATGTGTGCACACCTCGAACGCAAAGCTAAGTGGTTGTTATTTATACTGTCGACCTTCCAAGGTCACGCGACCTGTATTAGTTAAATCGGTTTTAATATTTATATACCGCATCAATACGCTAATAAATGCATAGGTGTGATATGGACGTTACACACGACCTTTGTATTGTTCATATTATTACAATATGGCTATGAATAAATTTAACTGAAAGAATATTAAAATATCAAATTAAACTATAAAAAAAGTAAAGTTACAGCCTATATAAGTCCCACTGCTGGGCACAGGCCTCCCCTCATTTCTGAGAGGGTTTTAGGGCAAGGAAGTGTCCGCCGCGCTGCCCCAATGCGTGTTGGCGAACTTCACATGTCTTCGAAATATTTTTTTTTCTTATTCCTCAGACATGCAGGTTTCCTCACAATGTTTTCCTTCACCGCCGAGCACGTGGTATACAGTTAAATTATAGTAAAATTAAACTATGTTTGTCTAAATTTAAGTAAATTTCTAATTATCTGGTTATTAATTGAGACTATGGCTAAGGAAGTTAAAAATTTCGGCGCTGACACTTACCGCAGCTAATGTGAATTAAATAAATTAAATTAAAAGTATATCACCAGGATAATTAAGTATTCATTATTAAATTCCAATGCCGTGGTAGCTTATGGGGTGTACGAGTACACTCGTCCACCCCATAAGCTGCCACGGCTACCACGGCGAGCAATTTGAATGCTATCCCCTCCAGCACCCCTGATTATTATTAAGCGATAGTTAGTGTAGATGCAACACGTGTGCGGCAAAAAATTAATTAAATCCAAATTATATTGGGACAGTATGGCGGACTTATCTCAGGTTCAAAAGCCTTTGCATAATAATGGAGACAAACATGCTCACAGTTTACCTTATGGTAAAGTGGATGCTTTAGCCCATATACATCGACATTTATCCTCAATTCAGTATCAAAATGTAGATTCGTTGTCACTTCTGAGGACTAAGATGTAATGCCTCATTTCCAATAAAAAGCTTCTACGGTTCTTTACCCTCACCATACGAAACCTAGCAGCATTAAGCTGCTTTTTTATGCTGGTACTGGTTTTAGTGCCAAAAAATAACATCAAATGTTTTTTTGTTCAGATTGTGTTAATTATTGTTAATATTCAATTATAAATTCGAAAAGCGTGGTTAAACTTTGCCCGTTTCACTATTAATTATACTTCACTTTATTTTAATTTGATTTAATACAGTTTTAATTTTGTTGCTCAAATGTTAAAACTTTTGCTTTGGATGACACTAAAAAAATTTCTTAAATTTACGCGAACACTACACATTGAATAAAATTATTATTTACGGATTTTATCGCGTTTAATTACTTTAATTTATTTTTATTATTATCCCGACGTTTCGGGTGCTTTACAGCACCCATGGTCACGGGGGGGACTGAGATGTTTGACGTCCCCATGTCATAGTTAGTCCGGCTACCTTCAGTTTTTTTAATATTAATTTTTGGTCCGATTTACGCAAAACGAGCTTATAGTATCATGAAGTCTTGCAGTGGTATGCTTGGGTTTAATTTTGTTAATTATAGGATCCCAAGCAGATGGTAGCACCCAACCATCTTCTCTATTGAAATTTGCATGTTTTTTAATTTCAATAGCCTCGCGTATTATCCTTGGTGGGAATCGGTGTTCTTTTGCGAGAATTTGTGGTTTATCAAATTTAATGTAATGGTGGGGACGATCTTGAACATGTTCGCAGACTGCAGACTTCCCGGAGCGTTGGTGCTTCACATCAGCTATATTTTCCTTCACGCGGGTTTTTATAGATCTCTTTGTTTGACCTATGTAAAAGAGACTACATTCACAATCTAGATAAGCAAACAAAATACCTGGACCTGGCTCACGAGGTGACCGACATGTGGGGTGGACTGCCGACCGAAATTATTCCTGTAGTCGTCTCTGCAAACGGGCTAATCCCAGTCAGCCTCTCGGGTCATCTGAGGCGGCTGGGACTACGTGGCGGACCGCTCCAGGCTCAAATGCAGAAGGTGGTGCTCCTCGATACCGCCCGCATCGTCCGCCGGTTTCTTTCCCTTTCCCCCTAACCCTCGGCCGTTTGGTCTCCCCTGCCAAGGGCTTCCATCTGGTTGGATCTTATTTATTTATGTATTTTTTGTATTTATATTATTTTATTGATATTTATGTATATTTATCATTTCATTTTAATTTATAATTATATATTTATAGAACCCAACCAGATGAGAAAATTGTATAGATACCCCAAAAATAATAATTAAGGCGTAGGGAAGTGACGACCCCATCGCCCGCTGACGTAACAGTTAAATGACAAAACTGCTACGTCGGTGCAGTCAGTCAGCGCCTTAGCAAGAGGAGTGAGCGCCGCGCCTCGGCAGTACTGAGGGTGCAAAGGCCCGTTTGTGTTAAAAGCCGTACAATCAAACGGTGCCGGGCCTGGGCATTCCCGTTAATAATAATTGGCGCCCAGAAATGGATGATGGATAGATGGATGTTAATATAATATATTATATAACGTTAATGGATGGTAGTGAATATATAGGGCCGCTACCTGGGGGTCGCCGGGGCGTGTCTGGAGCTGGCGCGGGATGCGTCAGCATGCGGGCTGCCAGCCGAGCGCGAGGAGCTGCACGATCATCTAGCAGCCCTCTGCATACATCATCCCTACCAAATGGCTTGATGTTGGCGGGGTACTCTCGGACTCAGCAAGGGGCATCCGCCGCTAGTGGAGTACGCCACATGCGTTGGGCAAAAAAGATGAACGCAAACGCATTGCAGGCTTACTATAGGGCCAAAGTGGAAGAAACTGCGGGGATAGCGTATCGGGCTCAGATGGATTGCTTTTTTGCTGAGCTGGAGCTGTCTATTCCCGTCACGGAACAAAACCAGGCAGAACGAGTTCGGTACATCATGCGCTCAAAAATATTTGATGATGCCGCACTCGAACGACTTTGGCGTAAGGCTATTATTCCCTCATCGAATGAATCGGCTATGGCTGGGGATGCGGATCCTCAGGCTACAGACCAGTATTCAAACGTGAAAGCCGCCATGGATCTTCCAGTTGTGGTTGATTCAGACGATGATGAAATAGTCTCCTACGACCTAGAGCAAATGAGTAGCATATTGGAAAAGGCGATTACGGAAACGCGCAGCACGCCTCTCGAAAATCGACCGCGATTTCCCCGTATACCCAAAGCAAGCGAAATCGGGCTGTCGTGAGGGATCTTAACCCAATGCTGGTGACTTATTTGGAAGCCAGCCGGGATCTTTGCGAAATGGACTCAGTTCTTTTTGTCGACACAGTAGCAGTTTGCCGTATTATTGGCGCCAAACTTCCCATGGCTGGACGAGCTATTAGACAAAGTTGTGCCATCCCAGCCTGGAAAAAAAGAAACAAAGACCGTATCGCAAAGGCAAGGGCCCTTATCGGCAGACTGACAAGCTTCGGGTCGAGTAATAACAGACCAAGGGTTATGCGCACCGTTAGAACGGCACCTGAGTATGTCAAAGGTATACATGAGGAAAGACGTGATCTAACCATTATATGTACGTTTCTTATTCACGCCCGACAAAAGGCTGTTATGCACTTTGGTCAAGCGGGCATAAAACAGATTGCAAACTGATTGTTTTATTTCCGCCTCATTAATACTTATATTTTGTGACATACCTAGATATCGGTGTTTCAGTGATTAAAACTACTTTTACGGATTTTATCGCGTTTTATTTATATTAATTTTAATACCCGACGTTTAGGGTGCTTTCCAGCACCCATGGTCACGGGGAACTGAGGTGACTGACGTCCCGATGTCAAAGTTAACCCGGAGTACCTTCAGCTTTTTAATTATTGTCTTTGGTCCGATCTACGCAGAATGAACTAACTGTATTTTGAAGTCTTGCAGTGGTATGCTTGGGTTTAGTTTTAATTTTATTAATTATAGGATCCCAAGCAGGTGGTAATACCCAGCCTCCTTCTCTATTGAAATTAGGATGTTTTTTTAATTTCAATACAAGTTCAACCATGTTGTAGGAACTGTGTCTCCTATTGAATTACAAAATGTAGATCTAGATAAATTTAATTTAAAAAATAAAATAACTTTTAATTTTTTATTAAGTAACCTAAAAACAATAGGAAACAAACCTTACTCAGGCATTTATACATTTATGGCAGCTCCAACAACAGCTTGAAAATTTAATTTATTTCTTAGTTTTCGGCACTTATCTGTTTTATATATTAATTTAATAAAACATGAAAATATTTTTACGTAGTATATAGCAACACGAATTGGTCGCTTCGACCGAGGAAGCAACAATAAAATAGCAAATAAAAATAGCAATAAAGGCACTGCAAATTGTTATATTTACTACTACTATATTTATTTTGCGGGATTATAGTACGTGAACGTGTGCGCTAGCACCGGTGCAATGGTGCCGAATATAAACTAAATAAAAAAGTGTTGATAGGCTTTTTTGGATTAGGCTGCATTACGGCTTACAATCAGGTACATCAATAATAAAAAAAAATAAAAGTCTACAAAAAATCGCAAGAGTTAATTATGTCAAGCAACCTCACGAATCCTACAAATAAAATGGCCTTTATTAACTTAAACGACAAAACTGATTATAGCTCCAAGTGTGGTACCAAGTAACTATATAAAATCTCTCAATCGTTTTATATTTATTAAATTCGCTATGTCATAAATATTATCGGATATGTAAGGGACGAACCCAGGGAAATGGGTTTATTTCAATAATATACTTCAATATCTGAACGACTTATCACTGAATGTAACACTACTGCCGCCGCGCTAGATAGTAATATCCGTTTTTTTGTAAAATGATTCAAACTACAGAAGCCATACCTACGTAAAAGAACCATAACTTACATCTTAACAGATTTTTATTGACTTATTTTGTATATAGAATGAACTTCCGCTTTTTTTCTAAGGGGCGCAATAAAGTTCTAAAATTAAAAAAATTAATGATTGTATGACTGCTATCATGTAAAAATATTTTTTTGTTTTTTAGAATTTTATGTTATAAATGCCTGAGTAAAATATAAGTTATCTAAAACTTTAGGGTTGACAATATTTCGAATAGAACATTTTTAGGAAAAATATTAACTGGTTAAGGTACTGCCGTGTAGTGGAGACGTTAGATTATTCTCCATTCCATTTCGTTCCGCCGATGTCGTACGAAACGTAAGGGAAGGACTGAAAAATATGATGGCCTCCGATAGATGGCGCTATCACCAGATTATCATAGGAGCGTTAAATGTGCGAGATATTTGGTTCTGTGATCGTGGATCCACTTGTCCAGCGTGTAGATTGTGATGAATCATCCCTGCAATAGGAAAGGGTGATATGCAGCATGGGACAGTTAGGTGTTGATTAAGAAGATGGAGAAGGTACTCTTATCGGGGAAGTACAGAATGAATCAACTTTTTTATAGATTTTTTTGTAGAATAAGGGTGACAAACGAGCATACAGTCCACCTGATGGTATGTAGATGCTGTGGTCCATAGACATCTATATTTATCCTCGATTAAGAATCAAAACGCAGATGCGTTGTCACCCCTGAGGACTAAGATGGAATGCCTCGTTTCCAGTAAAAAGGGTCTCCGGATCTCTACACTCACCAAACGAAACACAGCAGTATTAAGCTACTATGACGGTCCTGATCATGAAAAATTGTTGTCTATAGTTCGTACGGAACATTTTAAACAAATAATGAAATATTAATTCCGAGATATTCAAGCATTACAATTTTTTTTGATAAAAACTTGTCATATACGTTATCACTTTTTAATGGAGCATTCACTCTTAATCCTCAAGAGTGACAATATATCTACGTTTTGATTCTTAATTAGGGATAAATGTAGGTATAGATACCTACAGCACACAGGGCCACAGCATCCAATTACCGTCAGGCGGAGTGTATGCTCGTTTTTCACCATTATTCTCTAAATAAAGTTAATAATGTTACGTCATACAGGTATAAAAAGAAAGTGTCACCATAGGATACCATCATTTATATAAAAGGATATCTCAGAACAATAAAGGTACGTTTCAAATAACGATGCTCAATTTATTTTATATGAACACGCACTCTCACACACATATGCACTTAAGCCACCTTGTGTGTGTGCAGAAGTGCATCTTCTTAAAATAAGTCAAACAAACAGGAATTTTACGTAGTTACGCAGTGTTCTGTCTATACGGTCTGAGAGGGATAATATACAAAAAATGCGCGTGCTCTACCTACATTCTCATTAATAACTCTGCCTTTACAAACAGCCAGTGATCAAAAATGTACGGCAACTAATGTAAGGCATCCCACGCCGTTTATATATATTTATATATATTAAGTTACCACATTTATATATTTTTTATCAACGCTTTCATCTTTTTCTAAACTCATTTTTATTAGCATATGCTGGTTTGTAGAATATATTATTATTTATAATCAATATAGGTGTATATTGAACATTTACTGTAAGCAGACTTTTTAATTTGACTGTATATAATGTAAATAAGTATCGAGTCAACATCTTAACCAATTGTTAGTCGTTTTAATTTTTTTTATTAGATAAGCAATACCTCAAAGTTATTATAAAACCAGAGTATCCTCGAGAGAATAGGAGGTTAAATTTTAATGAAACTAATAAGACAGCTTGAATAAAACTATGTATTTCTACGAATTTTATCGCTTTTAACTTTAATCCCCGACATTTCCCATTGTAGAATTGTTTACCTATCATAAGTTCGTATTATTTTCTAGTTTACAAACACCAACAAAATAATTAAAGTTTTATAATTTTATTTTGTTATTAAAGATTAAAGACATAAGCTATTAAATAAAGTAGAAAATATTTTATTCATATTAACTTTTTGAAGTTGAAAAATCGACTTCAAGAAACTTTTTTCCAAGTTTAATTAAATCAGAAGAGTTAGTAGTTCGGTAATTTTAGTGTAGGTAATCTTTGAAAGCTTTGTCGTTGTTTAGATTTAAAACATATAATATCTATAGCTACAAATATTTATGGTTATAAATGACAGCTATACTTGCCCAACCTACGGGACGCAATGGCGTGATGGAGTTTCTTACGTCGCCAGGACATTGCGATTGCATAGTTTCTTTTCTTTTTTTAATAAAACGTTTCCTTCACACTAGAATTTTCTTCTGTACCGTGGAGACAGTTTACATACATAAATTTCACAAGTACAAACATCCAGATCCGGAACAATTATTTTTAATCCCGGAACAAATACTTGTACCGTGCGGGATTCGAACCCGCGGCTCTTAGCATTGCCACTCATTGCTAAGTTACCGCACCACGGAGCCGTCAATACATATAAGGGAATGAAATATTTATGAATAACGTACACTATCTAACTGTTTGACCCCGTAGCGTTTTTAAATAATTTAAAAATATTTTGTGATATAAAAGTTACGTCCCTTCTTCACTTGACCGCTATAATTCAGATGGTTAATATGATTCAGTATAAGCTTGATGCTCTATATCCCTCTCTTTCTATATATAGATATTTTAGTTAATATACGTAGGAGTATATTTGAACCAATTACTTAAACATTAACGTAGAAGATTCAAACTGTTCAGTTTTATCCCAGCATCACAACAATGACATCGAGTCTGACTTATTTTATTATACTTAGTTTCGTGGCTGTATTAGGTGAGCTTTTTACTTGTTATTTACTTATTATGTTTTAGTTTAATAATACTACAATCTCAACTGTACATTTATATTTTTCGTGTTGATTAAACGAAAACTCAGCGATTAGCAGTTGCAGAGAAGTTGTAGGGGGGAGGATTGTTAGACGTAGGTGAAGAAGATGTGCAGACAAATCAGAAAATATTACGAGATCCAGTATTCTGCCAACGCAGCACGACGGTTTCTTTTTAATCCATTGCCTTTGGAACAATAATTAATACTCCACAAAACCGATTTTTGATTCTCTCATTAATTCGGGAGCTGATATAATTGTAAATGGGTCACCTATGTTAATGACTGTGTTAGTCAATGTGTGTAAAATAAAATAATAAAAAGGGGAGAGAAATGGATTATTGCTGCGACTCTGGACTCAATGGAAAGGCGTGCTAAGATGCTTATTGGTTTACCGAATTTGTTTAATACTAATCTTACTAGCCTCGAACACAGGCGCAAAGTAGCCAGCCTTTCGGTCTTCTACAGGATGCATTTCGGAGAGTGTGCGCAGGAATTGCATAATTTAATTCTTCCCTCTCCCTTCCACCATCGGACAAACAGACGTTCGGCCAGTCTCCACCCTCTCGTTGTTGAGTCCGATTTGTTGAGTCTGATTCGAACCAAATGGTTTGCTACGTCGTTCATCATGCGTACAGCAAAGGAGAGGAATAAGTACAGCAAAGGAGTCCTGCCCGTGACCATGAGTGCTGTAAAGCGTTCGAAACGTCGGGTAATTAAAAAGTTAAATACACGCGATAAATTCCGTAAAAACTAGTATTATTTCAATGAGGAATAAGTTGCCAGCATCTGTCTTTCCATCGCATTACAGTGTGGGTGTCTTCAAGGCAAGAGTGAATAGGTTTTTGTTAAGTCAGTGCGCTTCACCATCTTAGGCTACTTCACCACTTACTATCAGGTGGGATTATAACTAAGTTCTGGCTTAGAATAATAAAAAGAATCCCCAGCCCCTATATAAATAAACTTAGGTGTACAGAATCTACTTAAAAACAAGCTTTTATATACGTACGTACGCTTTTATATAAAGGGCCAATATCCGAGACCATCATCAATTCAGCTCCATATTATTGCAGCGTCATCGAAGTTACATATGATAGGATGTTAAATATTAGCTCAATCTGATGTCAAGAAGTGCTTCTAAAATTGATTAAAAGTTTTAAACAAGAAAGACATACGAAGATTGTTAGTTAAATAAAAGCTCGTAAAAATTTAAGGTAACGTTTCGACCGCATGCGTATCAAGAGAGTATGATGATAAAATCATGCTTCTATCAAACGCAGCGAATACGCCAGACGTCTCGAATTGATCTAAACTTTTGACCACGAGTGGGCAGCTTTATTAAAACAATGACTTTTGTTTCGGTTTTTAGATAGCACACGATTCCGTTGTGACTACAGATTCTTTTCGGAAGCAGAGGGTTATCTGAAGTTGCATCGCGTGCCTGCAAATTGGTTCGAAGCACGACTGAGATGTCATCTCGAAGGTAGAGTCTATTCTTATATTTATATTCTCTAGCACTATATGTATTTTCGAAAATGTACGAAAGAAATCGAACACAACTTGAATTAATTTATCTTTCTACCTAATTATTTTATCTTAAAAAAACGCTACCCCTACGCTAGGATTTTCTTCTAAAGTAAAGTAAAGTAAAGTTACAGCCTATATACGTCCCACTGCTGGGCTCAGGCCTCCCCTCATTTCTGAGAGGGTTTAGGGCAAGGAAGTGTCTACCGCGCTGCCCAAATGCGTGTTGACGAACTTCACATGTCTTCGAAATATTTTTTTTCTTATTCCTCAGACATGCAGGTTTCCTCACGATGTTTTCCTTCCCCGCCGAGCACGTGGTAAATCAGCACTTAAAATTGCAATTAACAATTTCATTGGTGCCGGCGGGGATCGAACCCGGGTTACTCGCGTTCTGTTATATTTACAGCGAGCGTTAACCACTGAGCTACCACGGCTCTGGATTTTCTTCTGTATCGTGTAAATTGCACAACGAGAAACATCCTGATCCCAAACAAATACTTGCAAGAGCTCAAGGCTGCGAGCTATCGAGAGGGCTGTATTCGAAATTCTCTGCGTAAGTGACTTAAAACTGAAGATATTTCAGTGTAGAACCAAAGTAACCGCTATAGCCTAACAGTTTAGTAAGCTAAATTGGCAATAGGCCGGTCATATAGCTTGAAGAACCGAGAATCTATGGGAAAGAATGGTTCTCGAGTGGTAGTCTAGTACCAGTAGACTAAGTGTAGGGCGGTCCCCACTAGATGGAGTAACGACTTAGTAGGACATGCAGGAAGTCGATGGATGCAGGTGGCACACAGGACTGTGCTTTGTGGCATCCCTTGGGGGAGGCCTATGTTCATCAGTGGACTTGTAAAGGGCTGTAATGATGATGGTGATGATACAATGCTTGTTTCATGCGGAATTCGAGTCCGCAGCCCTCCACGTCGCAATTCAATGCTAAGTTACTGCACTATAGAGACGTCAAGTCAGCTTATCGTAGAAATAAATTGTTTAAATTAACAAGACAAATTATTTTTATTACGAATTAAGTTTATAATATTGTCCTATGAACGACTACTAACGACTAACGAATGAAATGAAGGTAAGTTAAGCTGTGAATTAGAATTGGCCAATTAGAGATTTTCATTATAATACTATAAGTGTGTGTGTGTGTTAACAATAACAATAATAATAGTATAAAGTCCTTCAGACCGCATTTCAGTCACACAATTATAGTGCCCGAGTGTGTGCTCAAGTACACATGCACTCTCTATACCCTCACTCTCATAGTGCGACGGAACGGCGAACCGACACGACGGGAAAGAGATCAGGCGCGGGACCAACGGCTTTACGTGCTTTCCGAGGCACGGGGGCTGAGACACCGCCAACTTCCTGAATCGAGCTGCTACTGAGAATTTCTTGACAATAATACCCAATAACTGATTTTGGCCCGACCCGGGATTCGAACCTGGGATCTCATTCGCATCGCGCGTTTATGACCACTAGACTAACGAGGCAGTCAAACATTAACAGCAGTATTTTAATAAATAACTATAATTTCCTTTTTAGAGAAGATGTTGAGCATGTATGTATGCAGGAATCCGTCTATTCCTGCCTAAATTATTGCTCAACTTCTTGACACGTAATCACGCACACATCTTTCGCCTTTCATAAAATAAGAGCAAACAAAAATTAATTAAAAAAAAAAAAATATATATATATATATATATATATTAGATATTGAATAAAAAGTTCTGTTTCTGATTATATACTAAAACTGTACTGCAGTGTAGCCCCCACGAGTCACGACAGTATAAATTAGTGTTAAAGTGGAATAAGCTTAGACTAGTCTAATTAAAGTCACAGCAAGAGTGACACGTCTCTTCTCATTTAATACCTCCCAACATTAGAGTACAATTATACAATGTACATTCGGCAAATTATCATCACTCTAATCTAAATAAAACTTCGTCATACTTCGCAGGAGGTAAGCTGGCTTCACCATCGACAAAAGGCCTCATAAATGCAATGAAACTCCTGATCGACGCAGGAACTGGCGACATGAGCTGCGGAGTCTTCACCGGGATACATGCTACTTTTTCAAGAGGAGACTTCCATACGATAGAAGGTAGTGCATATGATTTTAAACAGGTTTATTATTTAATATATTTCGGTCCAACTTAGCGGTCGGTAGATAGTACAAAAATATATGCTCAAATTATCGGTAACGAATAATGTTTATATTTAATATATTGCAGATTATATTATAGTATACTAGTAATCCACTCAGGCTTCGCACGGTTGGTTTCTAAATCTCGACAACAACGCTACCTACCGGGTCCAGTTGTAAATCTACACCATTCTCCAATAAACTTAATCACATACACAATATTTCATCAAAATCGGTCCAGCCGTTGAAGAGGAGTTCAGTCACATACACATGGACAGAAGAATTATATAATATATAATATGCATGCTGTAATTGCTCGTATAAGGGAGCGTCGATAAAATAGAGCGGGTTTGCTGGCGGGATGTTAACTGGAGAGCATACAGTAGCAGTTAGATGAGCAATAAATAACACTTCTTGAGAGTTTCTTCTTATTTTATTTCTTGATTCCTTATTATTACATTGCCGGATTTGGAATGTTTTACCACGAAAAAACGCCCCTTTTTTTATAGGCGGCTGTAACCAATCATAATTAAGAAAAAATCGCACACGGCATTAGTGAATCTATTGACCAATCAGAGCACAGAATAACCCTTTCTAGAGAGATTTACAATTTTCTTAATAAACGTGGTAAAACATACCTTACAACATTTATATTTATTCCTAGCGATAGATACAACTTATTTCTATTATTCTAAACCTAAATTATTCAATAAACCTTTATTTTACACTTATAAAAAATAAAAATAGCTTCGCGGTCGCTTCACGGTTTAGCTCCGGAGTAGGATAGTATTTTTTTGCCGAACATACAAGTAGCGCCGCCAAGAGGTAGGAATGTACAACACTTTTTCAGGATTAATGCTTAGGAATCTATACAATATTTTTTCATAAAATTTAAATCTTTCTCATAATGAAATGACATTATATAGTGATTAATTGACATATTAATATTTCTTTTGAATTACTTTAAAGGAAGAAAAATTATATTAATCACCTATATGTTAATAGCTCTTAGAGTTATGATAAAAGAAATCTTACTGGAAAAAATAAGCTTATACTTGCGTCTAATGTTCTAATCTACTTTCCTGTTTTCAGCACTAATCAGTATTTACACTTAACTTTATTTTACAAATAGGAAACAATTAAGATTAAATACTATCACTTAGTTTTAAATCACTGATAAGAAGTAATTAAAATTAAATGTTCGAATTCACTTTGTCGTCGCTAACATTCTCCCCCACGGTGCGTAGCACTGCACCCTCTGGAGGCGACGACTCCGCTGGCACCAGCACGATGACACGTCGAGTTGGACGGCGAAGTATTCCACCTGATGTCCGCACGTCCAGCACCCTGGTTCTTCCGTCTGGTCCGGGATAGGTTTTGACGATTTCACCGCGAGGCCATGAGTTTCGCGGTAATGTGGCGTCCACTATTAGCACGATGTCTCCTTCCCTTGGGTCTCTGGTTTCTTTCCCTTCGAGTTTCCTTGGCATCAGGAGAGGTAAGTATTCTTTAATCCACCTTTTCCAGAAGTGGTCTGCGAGTCTCTGGGTGGTTCTCCAGCTTGCCTTTCCGATGAGCTCCGTGTCGCTGAACTCTCCCGGCGCCATAGCTCCGCATGATCTTCCCAGCAGAAAGTGGTTCGGTGTTAGGCTTTCCTCGTCTCCTGGGTCCGTGCTGATCGGGGTGAGAGGTCTCGAGTTGACGATGTGTTCAACCTCAGTCATTAGCGTATGGAGTACTTCCTCGGGCGGGCTCTTCTCGTTGAGGACTACTGCTAGCGCCGTTTTGACTGTTCGTACGAGCCTCTCCCAGGCGCCTCCCATGTTTGGAGCTCCCGGGGGGATGAACTTCCACTGGATGCCCTTTTCCTGTGCGGCCTCTTCTAATTCCCTTTTCGCTCCGACGAAATTAGTTCCGTTGTCGCTATATATTGTTTTCGGAGTTCCTCTTCTGGCTGCCATTCGTCGGAGTGCCATGATCATTGAGCTGGTGCTGAGAGAAGGTACCAGCTCTAAATGTACTGCTCTAGTTGTGAGACAGGTAAATAAGGCTCCCCAGCGCTTCTCGTTCCTTCTTCCGATGGTGACTTGCATCGGCCCGAAGTAGTCTACAGCTGTGCAGGAGAACGGAAATTGATGATGCTGCAATCTTTCACTCGGCAGATCTCCCGTTGGTGGTATCTCTGGTGAACTCTTCTTTGTCTTGCACCATTGACAGCTGTGTGCGACCGCTTTTAGAGTTGCTCTTAAACCCAAGATCCAGAACCTTTGACGAATTTCGTTCATTACTGTAGCGGTGTTTCCGTGAAGGAATTTCTTGTGATAGTGTTGTATTATTAGACGAGTTATTTTTTGTTTTCCGTCTAAAATGATAGGATTAATTATTCTTCCGTTTTGATCGTGGAATTTCATTGTTCTGCTCCTTAATTTAATTATTCCGTCGTCTCCAATGTAAACGTCGATTTTCTTGAGTCGACTCGAATTTTCTAATGGCTTTTCTGACTTCAGTTTTCTTATGTCTGATGCAAAACTATCGCTCTGGCTTATTTTTATTAATATCTCTTCGGCCTTTTTTAGGTGTTCCGCTTCTATGGGTGAGTATAGGTGCTTATTTTCACTTCTGCTGGTCGACGGGATTGAGGTTTGTGCTTCTTTCTTCTGGATTTTTTGTGGTTTCCAGGACTCATCCTTCTGGCGTGCGGCGGTGGTGGTCGCTTTACGGCTCTTCTTTAGTAGGTGTGTAAAGGCGATCACTCTGGCTGTAGTGCGCAGCAGTCGCTCCCAGCTCGAGAACCTTTCTAGGTTTAGTAGAGTGTCTTCTGCTGCCATTGTTGCCAACACCTTTTGCTTGCTTTTTTCTTCTGGCATAACAATTTCTGGTTTGAAGTCGTGGAATGGCCATTCTTCTTCTGGTCGGCGGAGAAATGACGGGCCTTTGAACCATCTGGCGTTGTGGTCGAATTCGATTGGGGTTCCCCTCGTGGCGTCGTCCGCTGGATTCTCCTTGGTTGGCACCCATCTCCAGTCTTCTGGCTTGGATCTTTCTTCGATCTCAGCGAGTCGGTTGGCCACAAAAGTTTTGAACTTCCTTGGTTCTGACTTTATCCACTGCAGTACTGTGCTGGAGTCGGTCCAGTAAACCTTCTTCGATATGTCGAGCTCTGATTCCTCTTCGATTGTGGCGGCTAGTCTGCTTCCGAGTAAGGCTGCTTGTAACTCTAGCCTCGGAATTGACACAGGTTTCGTCGGCGTTACCCTTGCTTTGCCGGCGATCATGGAGACATGGACCTTTCCTCCGGGCTCTACTATTCTCCAGTAGACTACTGCTGCATAGGCTTCTTCACTCGCATCGGAGAACGTGTGTAGCTGACCTTTTCTGCCTTTGGGTGAGACGCATCTCGGGATCTTCAGCCTTGTTAATGTTGAAACTTCTTCCAGGTATTTCATCCAGGCTTCTTTTTGATGTTCGTTGATTGGTTCATCCCAGTCTATTTTCTTTCGCCAGATGTCTTGGATTAGTTTCTTCCCTTGTATTAGAACTGGTGTAGCAAAACCCATTGGATCGAAGGTGGACATTACTGCGCTTGTGACTTCTCTTTTTGTTGGAGTCCTTCTGCCGTCTTGCAGGTCTTCCGGCGTGTTGCGTAGCCCGACGTTGAAGGCTAATGCATCTTCTTTCACCAGCCATCTTAGTCCCAGAGTCTTCTCTTCCTTGGTCAGTTGTAAGGAGTTTTCTTTGTTTGTGTCTTCTACCTCTGATATTACCCCCGAGTTGTTGGTGGCCCATCCCTTCAGATGAAAGTTTGCTCTTGCGTGAATGTCTTTCACTTCTTTGGATATCTTCTTTGCTTCGGTTGTAGATGCGAAGCTCTGCAGATAGTCGTCCATGTAGTGATTTCTCTTAATTGCTTTCACTGCTTCAGGATGGGTGTTCTTAAATTCCTCTGCGTTCTTGTTCATTACGTATATTGCTGTTGCAGGTGATGACGCTGCTCCGAAGATGATTGAAGACATTCTATACTCTTCAGGCTTGCCGGTTCTTCGGTTTCCGCGCCACAGGAACCTGAGACTGTCTCGGTCGTCTTCTCTGACTTTTACTCGGAGAAACATGTCTTGTATATCTGCCATGACAGCTACTGGTCCCTCTCTGAAACGCAGCAGTACTCCGAATAGTGATTGTAGCAAGTCTGGGCCCGAGAGCAAGGCGTCGTTGAGGCTCTTTCCTTCGTGCTTGGCAGCTGCGTCGAACACTATTCTTAGCTTCTTCTTGACTGGGTGTACAACAGCGAAGTGGGGTAGGTAGAATGTCCTTCCTTTGTTAGAGGTTTCTGGAGCCTTCTCTGCGTATCCTTTTTCGATTAGATTCAGGATTTGCTCCTCGTAGTGCTTTCTTGCTTCTTGATCACGATCCAATTTTTTCTCGATGCTGACCAGGCGTCGAACAGCTTGATTGTAGTTGTTGGGCAGGCGTTCATTTTCTTTTTTCCACAGGAGACCCGTTTCATACTGACCGCTTGGCAGTTTCTTGGTAGTTTTCTCGAGGGTTTCTAATGCTCTTCTGTCGCTGTCGTTAGATGGTGAACGATTTTGGATCCCTAGAGACTCTAGTTGGAAGTGTTCTCGGACGAGGTCTTCTATGTCTTCCTCGCCAGTGGTCGCTTTGCCATAATGAGTGAAGTGTACTGTGGCAGTTGTTCCTGTTTCACATCCGTGTAACACCCACCCTAAGTTCGTAAGGGAAGCTACAGGATCTGATGGTTTGCCCTTCTTCAGTTTTCTTGTCACTGTCAGTCCCCAATTGTCTTGGCCTATCAGTAGCTTGGGCCTCTCGGTGACGTAGAGGAGTTGATTTTCAATTGCCTTCAGGTGCTTACAGTTTCTCACGGTGTCCTTGTTTATGCATTGTTCAGACAGCTTCAGGTCGTCGATGGTCCTTGCTACGATAGTTCTCTTTTCTTT